TTGAGCATATACAGTATCAAGCTCATAACACTGTCTTATTTAATCCTCACAACCACCCTATGAGGTGGATATTATTATACCCATTTCCATAGACAAGGAGATTGAGTCTCAGGAAAGGTAGTGACTTTCTAAAGATGAATGAATAGAAGAGGCAAGATTCAAGTTTGGGTCTCTCAAGTTCATGAAAATGCTATCACAGTGTCACAGTTCCTCAAGGGACACAGCAAGAGGAGCATACTTGTAACCAGACCCGCTGAAATGGGAAGAAAATGTCCTCGTAGATGCCAGCAGCCTCCATTCACTTCATTTGCTCAATCCTCCCTTTATTTATAAATTCAGGCATTCAAGTATTTAAGTATTTGCTTAATAAACATTAATTAAAGACTTAAAAAGACACCTGAGACCACTGAGGAGGGGGAAAAAATGAAGGAGAGGGAAGAGGGAAGGGACATAAAGATATATATGACTCAGGATCTGTCTTCAAGGAACTTAGGAAAGCGAAGTCATATATACACATAACAAGAAAACAGTGGAGAATGTGTTGGGTCACAAGAAAAATACAAGTTAAGATTAACTGCTGCCATTAATTCCTATATTGCAAAATACAGGAAGGACGTCGATGGGTAGAGATGTAAGAGGAGGGCTTTCCAAAACAGGCAGTCATAATTTGAAGGGACGTTTGCTCCAAAAACCATGTCAGAGCCTCTCTTCTCAGATGGACCAAGCTGAAGGGGCAATAGAGCCCTTTGCTCTTAACAGGGACCCATGGTCCAATAAAACATATGTGACATATGGTTGAAATGTCTTCTTCATGTCCCAAATAAAACCTATCATACATGTTTTAATACTTCTCTAGATTATAGAGACTTATTTTCTCCATAATAAAAAAAAAAAGAAATTTCAGTTGTACAACTACCATAGCCTGCTACTGGAGGGGGGGAGGGGGAGGGGCAGGGGGAGGGGCAGGGGAGGGGAAGGGGGGGGGGGAGGGGAAGGGGGAGGGGCAGGGGAGGGGAAGGGGAGGGGAGGGGAAGGGGAGGGGGAGGGAGAAAGTAGGGAAGGAAGCTCCTGATTCTCATTTGCTATTGACCACTTTGCAGACTAGGCATTTCATTGGTAATTCTACCTGGAAGCCTTTGGAAATTCCAGCAAATCCTCTTAGGTGTAGGGTTAAGAGGGTGGGAAATAGGGGGAGAAAGACTATGGACTCATACACTCTTGAGCTGAATATGATTAATTCTCCGGGGGTTAAATGTGATTCCCTCTTCCCACCCCCTTTCACTTACATCAGATAGGTCTGATGAAGAGGGGCTGAAGTGAGGGAAACTTTCTAAAACATTTTGTTTTGTTTCATTTTAAATACACAGCAGGTTGAAACTACTGAGTTGCTCAGCTTGATAGAATGTGGTAAAGGAAGAGGAAGGGGAAGGGGAGATAAGATTAGATAATGGAGGCTTTGAATATCAGAGAGAGAATTTAGATTTTCTGTAGTAAGCAGCACAGAAAATCCTGGATTTGGAACTTTTTTGTTTTCTAATATAACTAGATTTCTAATTAGAGGAAATATGTTGAACCAGGATAGTATTTTTTTCCAGTTATAGAAATAAATCTTATGCATAGAAGATGTTAAGGGTTATTCTTTTTTATTCTTAACCTCTTTCAAGAGCTATGTTATGTTCAGTCTAGAGTCTTCAGTATTGTTAGGGGAGTTAATCCCAAAATTAATTCCAAGAGAGTCAACAAAACTGCAGTCCAGCCAACATTTGATGTATCCAAACAGACATTTACATATTCCCTCCGACTGTCCCTCCAACCAGAATTCATTTCCTTTCCCAATTTCACAAAGGAAATATTCTCTCCTGATGTTTCCCTTGATATGGAAGGTCAAAGAATTAAGTGTTCCTTTTCTTTTTGAAAGCATGTTCAACATGGGGGCTTTTGATATCTTGCTGCAGCCCAGCCATCGTCTAAATCAGATTTTAATAATATCATGACCCATACCCCTTTGTTTCAAAATTATTTTTTGCAGGAACTCAAAGGTAGGGGAGTGTCCATTTAAATACTGATTTTTTTTTAACATCTTTCTTGGAGTATAATTGCTTTACAATGGTGTGTTAGTTTCTGCTTTATAACAAAAGTAAATCAGCTATACATATTAAATACTGATTTTTTTAAAAGACTCTCTTTTACCCTTTCTCCCTTCTTCTCCTCAGAAGTTGAAAGGAGATATTAATGAAAGGGTTAACAGCCTTTAAAAAGTCCATTCTAAAAATTTTCCTGCATTTAGGTTTGCTCACTTCTTCCCCCACTGGATTATAACAGTATGAATTTAGTAGCATTTCATCTCAAACAATTCTATTTTTGAGCAATTAACATTTCTATTTTTCAGGTCACTTTAAACCATCACATATGTGTACTAAAAGTATTTTAATAAAATTATATTGACTTACAATTTTGACTTTAAGATGATTCATAAAGCAAGATTCCAATCTAAATTAAATGAAAGTGGAAGAAATAAATTTGGAAAGTATGTAATTTTCATCTTCTTTCAAATTTTTAAGGACATGTTTTCATTGCACAATGTCCCATAATTATATTGGTAGTAGCTACTTGTTATTGAATGCCCAACTCTGCCAGGCGCCGCTTTATAGAAAGTACAGTTGACCCCTGAACAGTATGGGTTGGAACTGTGCAAGTCCACTTATATACATATTATTTTCAAGAAATACATACTATAGTACTACATGTCCCATGTTGTTTGAATCTGTGGATGTGGAACTGTGGATACAGAGGACCGACTACAGAATTATATGTGGATTTTCAACTATGCAGAAGGTCAGTGATCCTAACCTCCACGTTGTTTAAGGGTCAACTGTATAATAAAAATTCCTGTGAGATAAATGTGACAGCTACGGACTGAACTGTGTTCTCCCCAAATTCATATGTTGAAGCCCTAACCCCCAATGTAACTGTATTTAGAGACAGAGCTTTTAGGAAGTCAGTAAGGTTAAATGAGGTTCATAAGGGTAGGGTTCTAAAATAATAAGATTAGTGGCCTCATAAGAAGAGAAGAGAGGGCCTTCCCTGGTGGCGCAGTGATTAAGGATCCACCTGCCAATACAGGGGACACAGGTTCGAGCCCTGGTCCGGGAAGATCCCACATGCCACAATACAGGGGACACGGGTTCGAGCCCTGGTCCGGGAAGATCCCACATGTCACGGAGGAACTAAGTTGGTGCACCACAACTACTGAGCGTGGGCTCTAGAACCCACGAGCCACAACTACTGAGCCCGCATGCCACAACTACTGAAGCCCACACTCCTATAGCCCATGTTCTGCAACAAGAGAAGCCACGGCCATGAGAAGCCTGCGCACCGAAATGAAGAGTGGCCCCCGCTCATAGCAACTAGAGAAAGCCCGCATGCAGCAACGAAGACCCAATGCAGCCAAAAGATAAATTAAAAAAAAAAAAAGGGGCTTCCCTGGTGGCACAGTGGTTGGGAGTCCGCCTGCCAATGCAGGGGACACGGGTTCGTGCCCTGGTCCGGGAAGATCCCACATGCCGCGGAGTGGCTGGGCCCGTGAGCCATGGCCGCTGAGCCTGCGCGTCCGGAGCCTGTGCTCCGCAACAGGAGAGGCCACAGCAGTGAGAGGCCTGCGTGACACAAAAAAAAAAAAAAGAGAGAGAGAGAGAGAGAAATCTCTTTCTGTCCTTGTGATGTGTATGCACTTAGGAAAGGACATGTGAGGATCCTGAACTTCTGATCTCCAGAACTGTGAGAAAATAAATTTCTGTTGTTGAAGGCATGCAGTCTGTGGTATTTTGTTATGGCAGCCTAAGCTAGTATATGACTGTTCCCATTTTGTGGATTAGGAAGCAAACAGAGGTCAGTGGCAACACTAACATTTGAACCTGATGTGTCTGACTACAAACAAAAGCACTCTCTTTGAATTGCCCTCTGAATTTTGAGTCTGAAAATAATTACTATAGATAGCTCTTTAAAAAAATACCAAACCCTTCATCTGTTGTTTGTTGGTATAGGCATACCTTGGAGATACGGCAGGTTCAGTTCCAGACCACTGCAATAAAGCAAGTCATATGAATTTTTTGGTTTCCCGGTGCATTTAAAAGTTATGTTTACACTATACTGTAGTCTTTTAAGTGTGCATTGTTTTAAAAATCAATGCACATATCCTTAATTTAAAAATGCTCCATTGTTAAAAAATGCGAACTATCATCTGAGCCTTCAGTGAGTCTTGGAAGTAACATCAATGATCACTGATCACACATCAGCATAACAAATATAATAATAATGAAAAAGTTTGAAATATGTGACACAGAGACACAAAATGAGCAAATACTGTTGGAGAAATTGCGCTGATAGACAGACTTCCTTCACACAGAGTAGCCGGCAACCTTCACTTTGTAAAAAATACAATATCTGTGAAGTGCAATAAAGCAAAGCGTAATAAAATGAGATGTGCCTGTATTTTTATTTGTACCAGGTTTAGCAGAAACACACAAAGCCAGTTGATTTCCTTCAGTACATATCATCTGATTTTTGTCTTTTTGTACGTTACTATTTGAGCTCTCAGAATTTCAGGTTAATGATGAAAAATGTAGCCAATCTTTCTGAAAGTACAATGTTCAAAAATCTAAGATTTACTATTTCTGTATTTGCTTTTTGTAAAATGTATTAAATACAAAATATACGGTTTTGTGCCTGAAACTAATTGGCAGTACCCCATTAAACTATATTAAAATTAACATCTATTAATTGGATTAGAAATTCAGTGAGAATGACAGCTGCTAGTGCCTTTTACAGTTACTTTGTTTCTCTATAATCCATATGGCAGGAATCACATAATGCTTTTTCCCCCTTAGAAATAAACACTTGAGATAAAATGATCTGACTCAGTGTGGTCAGGGTATGTGCACTTGTTTTCTTTTTGAAAAATTTTGTAAAAGCTGAGCTATCTTTTTTTTCCTCTTTCACAGGTTTTCACCAGCCATATTTTTATATCTCATTAGCATTGTTCCATCATTATGGCTTCTTGAAATGCACCATGAGACCCAGGTATGTCCTTTTGGAAAGTAGGGAAGTGGAATACTCAGCAATAAACTACATTCATATTATAATCCAATTTCTGTCAGAAATGCACTTTTCTAAGGAACTGGAGTTATCAAGATTTGAATAAGTAAGAGGCCTCAGCGAAAAGGAAGTGAATCCATGATCTGTAAAACCCCATGAAAATGTTGCATTCATTTAAGATTTAAGACTACATCATTCATTAACAATTTGGGTTAGAGATCTTGTTCTTAAGACTTCCCCTCCAATATGCTACAGTTTACATGGGGATATACAATTCTGGTTTTAACCCTTGCCGCTTCAACGAGTTATTGTGCTAAGAACGGGCAGGGCTCAGTCATCTAGCATCCTATAAAATGACATTTTTAGGGACAACAGAAACAAAAAAGAAACCCCATCATCTGTACTCAGCTATACAAATACAATCAAACTTGGAGGGGCTATTTGAAGTAGTCTGTCTTAAAATACAGGCTTTGCAGGTTACAGGAGATTCACTTTTGAGGGTCCTATGAACTGTCTCAGTAAAATAGGAATTTCACCCTAGGGACCCGAAATAAGGGTAAAGGAGAGGAGCCAGGGGACCCACCGTCAGGAAGGGTGGGCTCTCTGTTTTAAGACCACACGGACCTAGAAAACAAACAGTGGGTTCCAATAAGAGTCCCTAATCTATATTAGGGAGATACAGAGGGAGGTACTGATTTTTAAGTGAGCTGCTTCTTGCCTGGGCAACCCTAGGTAGCAGGCTCTAGGCTGGATTCGGTCATTGATTGTTGTAAATGCTCCTGTACAACACTGGGGGTGCCAGTTGGCGAAGTCCATCAGACTGCAGCCTGGACATCACATCTTCAGGGTGCAGGTTACAGGTTCATATGTTTTACAGTAGTTATAATATTATTTTAGGACATTTACTGGTAAAATCTGTGAGACTGTTTCACAGATTTCTTTGCTACAGTTGGTCATTTTATAGCAAAGTTAAGCCTCTTATATATGTTTCAGATATTCAAACCTTATCTGGAAAATGCTTGCTCCAAATTTTAGGCACACAGATGGGAATTTAGTTCTGTAGACTATTTCTGAATTCCACAAGCATGTACCAATGATGTAGGCATGAAGAAAACATTTGTCTGCCTAAATCTCCTGTTTAAAAAACACTGAAGTCAAAGACTCTCTATATGTTTGTAGCAAAAGTATTTTTGTCACAGTAGATTGGTTGGTTCAAGTTATTATAGCTTTTAAAAACTGTACCATAAGGATTAGGGGACTGTTTCAATTTCCTTACTACTTACTGCTTTCAAGGATATGAAAATAAGCTCTGGTGATTTGAATCATTTTTTTCCTTCACATCTAATTCTATGACGTGGCTATCATCCACAATAACAATTCATTTCCCCAAATGCTTTTATAATATAAATGCTTTGCACAGTTAATTGATATACAGGTCCAATCCTATTACAACAAATAGCATGCAACCAAAAGCTCTCTTTTTAAGAAAAAAGAGATTTTTGAGCCCTGGGAAGTACCTCTTTAATTTTCATACTACAAAAGAAATTGGACCTTTAGCAGTAATGGATTTGACTCATTTTGACACTGAGAATTAAAACGAATGCCCAGTGATTGAACTGGGCAGGCTGGGCAGAGACAGAAGTAGAAAAAAGTGAGAGAGAGACAAAAAAGTATTGGCATTGCGTTTAAAGAAATAAGAAATGGCAGAATAAAGGGAGGTAGAGAAATTCTTAGTCCATTCATGTAGGAAATTTTGGTTATGATAATAATCACTTTTTTCATATAGTCCCTTCATTTCGAAGTATTTTCAGATACATTTTCTCATGTATACACCCAGCAACTTCTTAAGTTAGACATGGTATATGGATTTCTATTTTATAGAAGAGGACCCTGAGACTAAGAAGGGTTAAGTAATTTTCCCAAGGCCACACAGCTAATCAACCACAGTTCTGGGGCTTAGAACCTGAGTCTTGAGCCCTAGTGCATTAAACCACACTGCCTTTCTCAATTATGTGTTCTGTGTGTTCCAGGAATTTGCATCAAAATCATCTGGATTTTTCATGATGGGAAAGGATCATTTAATTTCCTTTCACATTTTCCCTTTACTCTATACCCTAAATGCTCTAACCTATGACTTGGCATTTGAAAAACATGCTGGCCTATTTCATGAAAACATTTCTCCTAGATGATCAATTCTGTACCTTCATTTCTGAATCTGGCTGGGTCTACCTGAATGGAAACAAAATGCTTATGACAACAGTTATGACCTTAACTCTTAGTCAAGTCTATTTATGAAGTGGCACAATTCAAGCAAAGGAAATTTTCTGGTCTTGATGGTGTCACAGTCTGGTTGACCCGACGGAGTACTTTCTAAGCTATTAAAAGTTTTAAGACAGAGCCCACGAAAAAGTGACTTGTTGGCACCCAGATCGTGCACGTCACTCACTTACACAATGCTGAATGTAAACAATATTACCATAAAAACAATATAAGTCAGGTTAGGTCTTAGGAGTTAAACCACTGTTCTTTGCAGTCCTAAGGCAGCTGCCACTTAAAGGAAAGTCGTATCAATTTATAACAAATAGAGTTCTAAGACTACAGAGGGACTCAGGTCTTTATACCATAACACGAACTACAAAACTATTTGCTATCAAGTTATCTTATGCTGCAGTATAGATGACGATGTTTTAAAAATAACAAGATGTCTATGGAGTTTCAGTGATAAGAATGTAAAAAAACATATCAGGGTCACCATTTTAAATATACAATCTGCTTTTCATGCCTGTAAGAGAAGTGGTCAAATTTGTTTCCTATTGAACATGAGGTTCTTAGATAGAGTCACCAAACTCCTCTGCAATGAGGATTTGTTGCTCAAAGATTTAATTTGTTATCTTTATTATCTTTTCTCGGAGCCTTAGCTGTACAAAAAAAAAGGGTACAAACAACTGCATTTTTGCTCTTAGAGTTACGGCACATGGCCATTTTTCTTAATTATTCTTGTCATTTCACCTGTAACACTAGTTGTTTCGATGGAAGGGAGGAAAAAAATAGCTTCTTGACAGACTTTCTTTCCTACTTTTCCAAGTAGCTCATAGAATGATCGATGAAGTATCCAGAATAATTAAGAAAAATACACTTCTCACAATGTTAGCATTTAAAAAATAATAATTTCTCTCTAAATCCAAATGTGTGATCATGTGTGTGTGTGTTTGTGCATGTGTATGTGTTTCAAAAGTACGTTTGCTCTGCAGATGTTTTTAAAAAAAACAACCATATATATATATATATATATTTTATTTTTTTTTTACCCATTTGTGAAATAATCATTGGCTACAGTTACATTTTCAAGTGCCACCCCTTTCCTCTCTTTTGTACTTTTTTCTTCTCTTTCTGTACCTCAGATTCCCAGCATCTGGCTGGATAAAAATCATCCACAGTTCACTTGTAGAAATTTGCATGCAAAATGAAAGAACAAGAAGGGGGAAAAGTGCCATTTATTTTAGGTCTATTGCTAAATTTTTTATAAACCTAAACTGACTTCTAAAGTGACACAAGATGTATATGTTGGTGGGTGAATATGTTAATTTATTATTATTTTGGGAGGGGGGTTGCTACAGTGCTTAACAGGCATGACTGAAAGTAACTGAATTATCTATATTAGCAAAATGGTATTTTAGATAAAGAGGCCTCTGGACAAGAAACAAAATCTTAGAATGAATGCTTTGACCAGGATCATACATGCTTTCATTGGTTGTTGCTTTGTTTTATAATTGATCCAGGGTTCAAGGAAGGGAACACAGTGATCGATCATAAGTTCTACAGCTCTCCACAATGAACTCAGAGCATCTACATCCTCATAGACTTGTGGAAAAATAAGACATGTATAGTTGACTCTTTTCTCATATTAGCTGAAAAGTGGTTTTCTATCTCAAGCCTATATTCTGATTTTCAGAAATGTTTATGCATACTGTGAAACGTCACATATTTGCTCATAACCTCTTAGACACATTGAAGCCATCTTAAACTCTACCTACTGTGATATTTTTTGACATACTGCTTTTTAAAACACTTCTTAGTATTGCAGTAGCCAATCTGAAGGAATGTCAAAGAACACCAGCACCAAAGAAGACTTCAATCAAACTCTGTTGTCAACTGAACAAACCAACAGAGCGGATGATCTCATTGAGACGGTGAGAGCTTTCTCACTGTATATTAAAGGATCTAGCAGATCACCTTTTCACTTGGTGAGGATAACATGCTCTATACCTTTCAGCTCATTCTTTCCTAGGGAAATTTGCCAATTGTTTGGCTCAGGAATTCACAAGATAATTGTATTTTAAAATATTATTAAACATATTAAACTTGCATAATAGGCATATATATCTTATATACATTAATAAATATATTTAACCTGCAGTATTAAGGAACCTTTAACACTTAGATCAGACAGTCTATGTACAAAGAGAGATACATACATTTGTGAAGGAATGATATAATGGAAAGACTGGGATCTGCCCTATATATTTTTTAGGTGCTTATGTTAATAAGTCAGGGAAGGTTTCCAGCCAAAATAGAATCGCTTGTTTGTTCTTCTCATGCTTGATATTTGGCAAACAAACCATGACCTATTAGAAAATGATATACTGGAGAGACTCAAGGCCAAGGCCCCTACCACTGAACCATGTTTTCAACAATAAGACAGGCTACAGATTCTGTGAGGTTTAACAGAGCTACTTCAAGCTTCAATCACAGCTTACCCAGATCACTTTGAACAAATCAATCTCACTGTCTCTCAGTTTATCATCTGACAATTGAAAATATTAACACTGCTAGTATGCTTCCTCCAAGAATTAAATAAAATGTATGAGAAGTCTCAAAGAAGTGTGCAAATGAAAGATTATTGATCTTCACTCCCGGCTTCAATCAGGTTAGCATCCTGCCTTGTCTTTTATCCTCCCTTAACCTTTACACTTGACATCAGCACGTGATCAAGAGGGGTAAATAAATTTTGCACAGATATAGTTAAGTCACTTGTATAGATCAGTTGGAATCACTATCCAATCCACTTAAGATCTACACCCTTGTAGTCTTTAGAGATCGTAACTGATAGGGCCAATAATATACTTTAAAAGTTATTTGGAAGTTAAGTGGGCAAGAGATGGCATCCAGAATACACGAATGGGATGTAAATTTTTCTCAGAGTCCAAGAATAGGGGCAGAATAAAATTTGCTAGCTTATGAATTTTTGAATAATATGTTAAATGCTCAGAGTAAAAATAACCTTATAGTTATTCTCTTTCTTTACTTTTAGGTAATGAATAAACACTATTATATATTTTCTCCTTTGATATAGTGGGGGTGTTTTTGTTATTGTTTTTTAAGAAGATGTTGGGGGTAGGAGTTTATTAATTTATTTTATTTATTTTTGCTGTGTTGGGTCTTCGTTTCTGTGCGAGGGCTTTCTCTAGTTGTGGCAAGCGGGGGCCACTCTTCATCGCAGTGCGTGGGCCTCTCACTGTCATGGCCTCTCGTTGCGGAGCACAGGCTCCAGACGCGCAGGCTCAGTAGTTGTGGCTCACGGGCCTAGTTGCTCCGCGGCATGTGGGATCCTCCCAGACCAGGGCTCGAACCTGTGTCCCCTGCATTAGCAGGCAGATTCTCAACCACTGCACCACCAGGGAAGCCCTGATATGGTGTTTTATAGCAATAAAAATCAAAAGAAAGATTTGTACCATGCTAAAAATATTACCAGATTAGTAAATTCCGATTTGAAATCTATAAAAGAAAAATACAGGAATTTTTAAATTTTAATATGGAATTTTTAAAATGTTGCTATGTGTTATACTGGTTACAGAGACTGATGAAATGATAAATTATCTATAAAACATTGCAAAATTGGTTTTTAAAATATCATATAGTACAATGCCCCTAGTAAGTGAAAGGTTTAAATTACTTTCAGTTATAAGGCTACCCCATTTTAAGGACCACATTAGCTTTTTTTTTTTTTTTTTAAGCGTGTTCAGTTGAAAAGAGTTTTACTTTCTTTATTAAGTGAAGAATCATTTTCTGAAAATGACCTTCCACAAAAGCTAACTATTGACTGACAGCCATGGTGAAGAAGGCCTCTCTCTCTAAGGTGATAGCTCATAATCATTCTGTCTGTATGACATTTCTCTTAAACAGGCCAAAGTTTTTGTAAATAACTTATCTACAGTATGCGAGAAAGTTTGGACTTTGGGACTCCATCAGACATTCCTGCTAATGCTAATAATTGGAAGATGGCTTCTACCCATTGGAGGCGGGATTACTCGGGATCAACTCTCTCAACTTCTCCTTATGTTTGTGGGGACAGCTGCTGACATACTGGAATTCACAAGTGAGACCCTGGAAGAAGAAAATGTGAGGTAAGAAGGCCCTGCAATGAAAAGACCTTCTTTTCAAGGTCAGGCCCACACACCTGTCTTTTTGTTCTATTGTTTATATTCTGCATGAATAAGGATTTTCAGGAGATCATATATCCAGTGCTAGAATCATAGAATTTGTTGCTGTTCGGGTACATGTTAGGTACCAGCCCCCTAACACACACACACATATATACATATGTATGTATATACATACATATGTATTACCATATATATATAAAAACTTTATATATGAATATGTCAAGGATGTTGCTGCTAGAGAAAAGGGGCAAATAATATTACCCATGGGTAAGAACAGAGAAGCTCTGACTGTTTGCATGACCACAGATTAGGTGAAGCCGTGGTTATCCGAAAACCTTCTGAGGGTGGAATGACCATCCCTAGCTTCCCTTTCACATGCTCAAGTGTCCAGGAATGTAGCCAATCATAAGGGTCTCTTCTAGAGCAGAGCAAAGCTACCATTCCAGGGAAGAACCTAGAGGTGACATGGAGAAATCACTCCTCTAGCCAGTTGGGGAATTTATACATACTCCCTGACGTGAATGCAGAATGGGGCAGATTAGGTTTTATTTTACTAAATTTTATTTTTAGTCAGTTTTGTTCGAAGTGCCCAGAGGCTATCTGGTGTAGATGCCTATAAATTAAAACTTATTGAGTTCGTACTTTTATTTTTGCCACGAGCAAATAAACTCAGAATCCCTGATCCCAGCTGCTTATGGAACTACTTTCTTACCTTTAGGGATTTAAGTCTCAGTGCCTAAATGTACTTTCAGCTTTGGTTGTTTTGCACTATGCTATAAAAATAAATTGCAGTGAGGCTGGCTTTTAATTCTACATTTTATGCTGTGTTTCTCAAACAACGAAACATAAAGCCGAGCAAAATACACTAACTTACTGAGTAAACTTAATACCCCAGTTGTAGTACAAAGTGTATCTGTAATCATAGCTTACCTTCACATGATCATTTCCTGTTCCATTTCTACTAAGTTTTCTTATACCGTAAGTAGACGTCGAATTTTAAAAAGAATCCAATCTAAGTTGACCCACTGTCCTCAGAATGTTGACTTTAGCTTTGTAGCTTTAATACCAAATATTTGGTCAATGCTTCACATTGTATAACACATTTTCAGATACATTAGAATACTTACAGTACAATGAGGTTACAAGAAAATCATGAAGAAATCATGACCGAGCACAGAAAAACAATAAATAACTACAGGCACAGTGATACGGACATGACAATATAAGGATGATTAATTCTACCTAAATAGAAGTAGACATATAAATGCCAAATATCTAGTGAGATGCATGGGAAATAGGGTAGGAGAGGGGGTTCAGGAGGAATATGTTTTGAGGGGCTGGTTATAAAAATGTGAGAAACGCCAAACTCAGCTACCTTAATGGCCTGTTTATGAGGCCCATCCGCAAGTGACACCAAGAGGCATTTTATAGGTCAGTGTTTCCCAACAGATGTTGAATATTAAATAAGTTAATGATTACAATGTCAATCACCCGGGGGGGAAATACCTTGAAAATTACGAGGGATCATTCATGCACCAACTCTTGACTGATCGTCTAGTGTGGGCCAGGTAGTGTGCTAGTGCTAGTGGAGACTGGGGAGCAAATGGTGAGCAACTGATGAAATAAAGGACACACAATCCTATCCCAACCCAGGTAATTTCAGTTCAGCAATTTCTTCACCCACCAATACATTAATCTGAGTGTTTTTTCTCATTTTAAACTTATACCATGTCCTGAGAATAGAACTGAATAAACTCTGCCCAGATTATTGTTTTTAAGTTTCTTTTCAGGTTTCATGATCTCAGATGAAATCATTTTATTTTTAATATAACTGCATTGTGTCAGTGACCTTCTGTGGTCTCCTCTAGACTCATGCATGTCTCCATCATGACCCAAAGACTCCAAAATCAAGGCCCAGAGAGAACTGAGAGTTTTTAATTCCCTCCTAAGGCCCACCTCCCAAGTTCTGATTTCATCTCAGGCCCCATCTATACTGCAAGAATTAACACTGCAAATTTCCATCTCTTCAAAGGAAATATTAAATCCTTCTCGCTGTAGTGTAGCTTTCCTCTTTGGCCTCAAAAAGACAATCATGAAGCATAAATTTAATAACGACGTGTAGCATCTTTCCTTGTGCTGATTAGCTATTCATATATCTTCCTTGGTGAAGTATCTGTTCAAATTTTTGCCCATTTTTCATTGGATTAATTTTTATTGAGTTGTAAGAGTTCTTTATATATTCTGGATACAAGTCTGGTATTAGATACATAATGTAAATATTTTCTCCCAGTATACCATTTTTTAATGTTGTCATTTGAATAACAATTTTTTTGAATTTTGATAAAATCCCATGTATCATTTTTTCTTCCCTGTAGTGCTTTGGGAATAATAGATTCTAAGAAATATTCGCCCCATCAAAAATTAGAAATATTTTCCTGTGTAATGTTTTCACTTAATTTTTGTGTATCATGAGGTAAGGGTCTAAGTTCATGTTTTGTCTTGTTTCATTTTGTGTTTTGGCATTATCCCAGCAGTATTTTTTGTTCCAGCTAGGACCAACTGTCTCAGCACCATTTGTTGAAAAGACTATCCTTTCCCTATTAAATTGCCTTGGTATCTTTGTCAAAAATCAATTGACCACATATGTAAGGAGTTTTTCTGGGCTTTCTATTGTGTTTCATTGCTCTGTGTGTCTGTCTTATGCCAGTACTACGTTATTGAGATTACTGGAATTTTATGGTAAGTTTTGAAACTGGATACTGTAAGCCCTCTAACATTATTCTTTTTTCAAAAATTGTTCTGATTTTTCTAGCTCCTTTGCATTTCCATGTAAGTTTTATAATTAGCTTGTCAAATTCTACAAAAAAAATCCTGCTGGAGTTTTGATAAGGATTGTATTAAATCTAAGCATCAATTTGTGAAGAAGTGGCATCTTAATAATATTAAGTCTTTCAATTCATGAACATAAACTATCTCATCTTTTATTCAGATGTTCCTTAATTTCTCTCAGCAAAGTTTTGTAATTTTCAATGTATAGGTCTTGCACCACTTTTCCTAAATTTATTCCTAAATATTTTTCTTTTTGATAGAATCATTTTCTTAATTTCTTAGTATCATTTTCATGTTTTTTATTACCACTATGTAGAAATACAATTGACTTTTGTGTGACAATCTTGTACCCAGAAACCATGCTAAACTTGCTTACTAGTTTTGTAGACTCCTTAGGGATTTCTACATATGGGATAATGTCATTTGAAAGCAAAGATATTTTTGATTCTTTCTAATCTGTGCACCTTTTATTTCTTTTTCTTGTCTCATTGCACCAGCTAGAATTTCTTGTACAATGTTCAACAGAAGTATAAGAGTGGACCTTTCAATCTCAAAGGATAAGCATTCTGTCTTTCACTATTAAGGATGATGTTAGCTATAGGTTTTGCACAGATATTTTTAATAGATGCCCTTGATCAGTTGGAGGAAATCCCCATCTAGGTTACTGAGAGTTCTTTCTTTTCTCTCTCTCTCTTTTTCTATGGACACTGAATGTTGTTAAATGTTTTTCTGTTTTTCTTATGATCATTGTGTGGTGGCTATCTTTTATTCTATTAATATGGTGTATTACATTAACTAATTTTCAGATGTTAAATCAACCTTGACTTCCTGGGATAAATATCACTTGGTTATGGTGTATAAGCCTTTCTATATGTTGCTGAATTTGGTTTGCTAACGTTTTGTTAATAATTTTTACATCTATACTCATAGAGCATACTGATTTTTAGTAATATTTTCAAATGATATTTTTCCTGGCTTTGGTATCAGGGTAATATCCTTCAATGAATACCTCAGGAAGCATTCCTTCTTTATTTTCTGAAAGACTTTGTATAAGACTGATGTTATTTCTTCTTTAAATATTTTATAGAATCCACTTAGGAAGCTATCAAAGCCTAGGTTTTTCTTTATGGGAAGATAGTTTATTACTAATTCAATATCATTATTTCTCATAAGACTATTCAGTTATTCTATTTCCTCTTGGGTCAGTTTTGATTATATTTTTCTTTCTAGGAATTCTTACATTTTATCTAATTTTATTTTTTATATAAAGTTGTCCATAATATTATTCCTTTATACTTGTGTCAATTTCTATAGGGTCACTTATTATGCCCCTCCCCAACTTTTCATTCTGAGGTTGGTCATTTGTGTCTCCTCTATTTTTTCTTAGACTTCTCAATTTAGTCAGTCTTTTAAAATAACTAATTTTCGGTTTCATTGATTTTCTCTATTATTCTGTTTTACATTTCATTGGTTTGTGTTCTGATGTTTAATTTTTCCTTCCTTCTGCTTGCTTTGGATTTAATTTGCACTTCTTTTTTCTAGTTTCCTAAGATGGAAGCTATTGATTTGAAACCTTTCTTCTTTTCTAATATGGTATTCAAAGTTATGTTTCCTTCTAAGCACCGCTTTATCTGCATCTCATAAGCTTTGATATATCTTTTTGTTTAATACAGTTCAAATTATTTTCCAGTTTCTCCTATGAGTTCTCCTTTGACCTATGACTTGTTTAGAAGTAAGCTGTTTAATTTCCATGTGGGGATTCTCAGACTACAACAGAATTAAAATAGAACACAACAGGGAGAATTTCTCCCTGTTGTGTTCTATTTTAATTCTGTTGTAGTCTGAGAATATACAAAATTATTTTAACCCTTTTAAAATACCGAGACTTATGGCCTAGCATATGGCCTATCCTGGAGAATGTTCCATGTGGGCTTGAAAAGAATGTGTTGTCTGGTTGAGTGTTCTGTAAATGTAAGTTATGTCAAGTTGGCTGATAGGGTTGTTCAAGTCTTCTATATCCTTACTGATTTTCTGTCTAGTTGTTCTATCAATTATTGAGAGTGAGGCATTGAAATCTTCAACTCTGATTGTTGCATTGTCTATTTCTTTTTTCAGTATTGTCAGTTTTTGCT